TCAGACGTAACATTCTGTCAGCAGACTGGCGAGCACTGCAAGTTTGTTCAAGTTGATGATGCTACCTTTCTCAGACCACACAATCAAACAAACAGACCAGCCTTCCTAGCTAAAGACCCTGTGTGAAGGCAGTAGATGAACATTTAAAGGACAGGGATTTGTGAGATGTTCCATTCGCACCTGGTTCCAGGGAGATTTAGGCTACATTTATAACTTGTGAGCTTTCTAAGATTCTGTGTGTGGTCAGAACCTAGACACGTGCCGAAGTGGGGGAGACTGGCTTTAAAGTTGCCGCAAGGCCATGACTCAACAGCTGGAGCATGTTCAAACATAACAGAGCAAGGTTTCTCTTTAATAGGAGGATGGAAATAGCAATGAAAAGGTTGGCATTTTAAAACTGCCAATGACAAGCTGAAACACATGAATCCACAGCAAAATAATCTTGAGGGTTTATTATTTTCTTTAAGATTTGAGCAAGTAGCAAACTATTCAGGCAGATGAAATGTGAGAGGATGGAAATCCAACAGTTCTTTGGGTCAGAAACCCTTTGATTTGTTTGTATTCTCCCCTTCCCCCATGTCCCCCCATTGTAATAGTTCCATTTAGGAAAAAAGTCAGGGTAAGAAAGCTATTAACTTTGAAGCTGTTTGAATGTGCCATTTTAAGACGTACAGAATACCAATTCTTATGGACCAAAAGGGGAAGAGATATTCATAAGTACAGTGCTGGTATTCTGATGAAGCGCTGCCTGCAGATGCTTAATAAGGGTAAGTGTAATATCCTGAAGTCATTTTAAATGGAATGAACATCTAACAAATTATGTGGCAGTTCAACAAATAGTTCAAAGAGGAGACACCAGAATTTTCATACTTGTGTATTAAATAGTTTAAGGTATTTGAAATTAGATATGTTAGTAAAGTGCTTTAAACATAGAAGGTGATATTGTAAGTGGCAAGTAAAATGTTGTTAAATGTAAGAAATTATTGTAGGTTGATGTGTTAGCTATTCGCTTACATTAAAATGCAGCAAAATCTTCTGACCAGGTGAGTTAGGAAAAATGCTCATTGTAGACAAAAAGACAAGATAAGAAATATAGTCAAAGTAGGGCATTAGAAGTGCCTGTAAATACTAAATATCATCTGACTTCAGCTAACAGAACTGATGGTTTAACTCATTTAAATAGGTCCTTGCCGTTTAATGGTGGAGGAGCCAAAGATTCATTCTATTGCCATTACCATTCTTTACCCTCAGATTAATTATTCTAATTGCAATGTTAGCCTGGATATTTAAAATACTTTGATCTGTACCTTTTCATGCCACATGTGAATGTGTGTGTAACACCCTGGCAAACTGTGCAAATTAGATACCACTGGTGTCTTTGTAAAAGTAAAGAACAAAAGCATTCTTAAAGCTGCTGGGAATTGCTGCCCACAGTGACCTTGAGCACTTTGTGGGGCCAGCAAGTGTTTAAGAGTTGGAAGACCCCAATGGATGTAAAGCAATGACGTAAATTACTGCTAAGTCAGGATGCCAGTTGCTCTGAGTGATATTTCAGGTCGATTGATGTGTGTCTGGGTTTGCCTGCAAGATCCAGGGATTGTAATATATTCCTTGGTGGATTTAAAAAGCAGGATTTAAACAACAGCTGGTAGTCTGGGGACCACGCTTTGAAAAACACCTAATTGGGGAACAGTTCTCTGCCAACCTGCTGTACATAGAGAAATTTTTCCTTCTCTTAAGTTCATTCCCCTTTTACCACATAGGTCACATTCAATTGTCATGTGTCTTTGTTTTAAAAAGGGAGTTCCTCTCATTCCAATGCCAGCATCCACCTGAAGTTCTGACCTATTATTAGCATCTTAATTTTTTGCACAGCAACCAGTTGTTATGCCATAAAATACTGCAGCAAAAGCAAATTAATATGCAGCTTTTATGCAACTAACGATATTAATAATATTTTCCCACAGGCATCAAGTCCTTACATACATAAATGTTTATAGGGGTCTTTAAGATACCATGAGCCTTAACTTAGGAAATATAAAAAGAAAACATCCAGTCCTTTCTATTAGTGACATGGTTGGAGCCCAGCCATATCTAGCCTTGACATGACTGGATTGAGTTATGAATCGTTTGTAATGACCAGAAATGTACTTTCCTGGCCTCTGTAAAATCCTTACAAGGCATAATTTTATGTTAGAATTTAAACAAAGAATAATGTAACAAGCTGATCTCTGACTTGTATTACTCTGAGGGAAGACTTGCCTATTGTATTGAGCCAGACTTTGGTTATATTCTCATATGGTGTCTCTTGTTTGTTGAGAGCTGGGGGATTTCCTTTTTATTTTCTGCTTTACTTGGTACAGATGAAGGAATATAACAGGCGGCACCTCCTATATTATGAATATGAATAATTAAATAATCTGCCTATATTGTAAACTTATCTATTTTAGCTTGATGGTCTTACTTCCCCTCCTTAAAAGCAAACAAACAAAAAAACCCAACAACTTGTGTTTTGTTGAGAGCTGGGGGATTTCCTTTTTATTTTCTGCTTTACTTGGTACAGATGAAGGAATATAACAGGCGGCACCTCCTATATTATGAATATGAATAATTAAATAATCTGCCTATATTGTAAACTTATCTATTTTAGCTTGATGGTCTTACTTCCCCTCCTTAAAAGCAAACAAACAAAAAAACCCAACAACTTGTGTTACTAGAAGGGAACGAGATTTAATTTGACCCGTCAAAATTAGCAAAATTCGCTTTTCAAAAATTTACTTTTAGTTTAAACATCCCTCTCCTATGGGAACAATATATAGTTATTTATAGTTTCTAAAAGATCTTAACTCTGATTTCCTAGTTTTTTGAAGTTATGAGTGACTTACTGTAATCTGATTGGATTTATTTGCTCACACCACTGTATCTAGTAGTTTTTACCTTTCTTTCTGGCTTTCCGCTGTTAATTGACTTAATTGGTATACGAAAATGAGGATAGAAAGTTGAAAGGTGTTTTTTATGGACCATTGAAAGGCACACTAAACATTTTAAAATCCTAATAACTTGGGCCCAAATTTTCAAATTAAATTGGTTAAGATTAGGCAACTAAACAAGTGAGTTGATTGTTAGCTGTGCTGATCACCCCCTGAAATTAATGGGAACTGAGTGCACTCAGCAACTTTGATAATTAGTACATTTTTATTTAAATTGCCCAGCCTGGATTTGAATGCCTGTACTAAATTAAGTTTGAAAAATAAGAAGTGCCTTATTTTTAAAAAATGTCTGAAATGTTCTGATGCTAAAATTTAATTTTCACCATCTATGCTGCTTTATTTTTTTCAATTTTATGAACTTGGACAAAGAGCATGCTTCCTTTTCTCCCAAACTTCATCTAGTCATTTTCAGGTTCTCCTGCAATATCAAGCCTGCTAGAATGTTTAGGTTGCACACACTACAGGAGAGACTGTGTATTGGCATGACCCATTTCTACTGCAGTTTTCTCTTGGTCTCAGGTTTTACAAAAAGCTTATTTCTATAGAGTGCATTTTTGGCCTGATAGTCCTGGAGTACCATGCGTTCGGACTTAAGTAATGACAGCAGGCGGCTACTAGAGAGCTAGTAACTCTACTTGAATAGATGGTAACTAGTGAGCACTGAGCACCAGCTAACAGAGTGCCTGTAAAATGGAGACATAATACCTCGTTAAGTTAAGTTGGAATTTTTGCTCCACTGAAGGGGGGGAAACAGAAAAGATTTAAATCTGCCTTCCTGATAGTAGTTAGTAATGACTTACATGGAGGAGGGAAGCCCAGACTCCCCCCCCCCCCCCCTTCCCGTTGTGGTTATGGTTTTCTGATCAGTGTGCGGAGGCAGCTCAGCAGCACTCAAAGCTATGTGGTATTTAGCTGCCGAGCGCTAGATTTGACTCAGCAGCCTAGAAGGTACAGCACTACATGCATGGGAAATGTCACTGTTATTCATTACAACCAATGCAGTCAATTCCCAGATAAGCCAAAGGGGCAAGAGAGGGTTCAAGGAAAATTGTTTACTTTTGGAGATAATGTGTTTGAAGGCAAGTTCACTGTTTGCTGTCAGAGCTATCTGGCTCACTGAAAGAGCAGTTCATACTTTTACCTATTAAAATGCTATTTGCTCAAAATACAATCCAGTTTGCTCTCTGCCAGGAAGGCAGTTTATAAACTTTGTTCTATTTATCAGCAGAGTTAAACAGTTAAAAATATCTTGGCAGAAAATCGGTGTAAAAGCATCATAGATTTTTTGAGCCTTCTGTTTTTCAGACACTCATGAATCTTTAAAAAAAAAAAAAAAAAAAAAAGTTGATTTCCACAATGAAAAATGTGTCCTCCCATGAGGGAACTACTTTACTTAGTCTTCTAATTAAAATGCTTTAGGGTGTACTCATCTGGAAGCAATGTGTACTGCTTGTGTTTTAATGGTCCTCCCTGAGATGCAGGTCACTGTTTGAACTTAAACCCTTTGGAGATATCAAGATCCACGTTTTTGGGGAAACTATTCATACAAAATCATTCAAAGGCCATGTGTCCTAGGGGACAGACAAATGGCCTGGAATTCAAGAGACTCTGGTTCTATTCCCTGCATTGCCATGAGCTTGCTGAGTGACTTTGGGCAAGTCACTTCCTGTGCGAAATAGGGGTAATGATTTTGCCATTCTTTCTAAAGCACTTTGAGATCTACTGATTAAAAAGCACCCCTTAAAGATGATATTCTTATTCTTCTGTTCCTCATATAGTAAAGGAAAAGCCATTCCCTCTGCCTTTAAGCTTAGCTGTGTCTGTGGTGAAACAGAGAATGGTGGTAGTTACTATACTTGGAAGTATAGTGATAGTTCACACTATCCTATATATATTTATCAGCGCTGATTTGTATTTCACAGTCTGCTTTTCTAGATGATTTTGTAGCATACCCTGCCTGTCCCCAAGAAGTCTACTCCAGCTTAATAGTGCATCTGTGCTTCTTTCCAGATTCTCAGCGCTCCCATCTCTCATCTTTCACCATGAAGTTGATGGACAAGTTTCATTCACCAAAAATAAAGCGAACACCATCAAAGAAAGGGAAACAGGTCGACCTGACAGTGAAAACATTGGAGAAGCCAGTGAACAAAGTAAGCATATGAATTGCACTATCTTCATTTGACGCAGTCTTGCCTGTTCCCCCGCCTGTTGAATAGTCTGTACTGTAACTATACTGAAATCTGCTGCTCTGGCAATGTTGCTCTCAGTTCATGGAGCTGTGTTTCTGTCAAAAAAAAGTTTGCAGTTTCCTGAAGTACTCTTCAGAATTCCTTTCCAGAGGAACCTTATAGATGGTCCTTTGTAGGTAGTATATTTGACTAGAGACAAGGTCAGCTGACATACATAATTTTCCTTTTGAGATCTTGATGTTCCTTCCATAGCATTGAAATGACTCATTATGGAATGTAGTTTATGGCCTGACATTCCCTCCCCAGACACAAATGCCCTATAGTGCACTTATAACTTCTAAATAACTGCTTGACTTCAGGGTGTGTTCAATTAAAATGCAAGCAGGCCCTTGAAGCCAGTCCAAAGATGTCCTCAATCTCTGGTGTCCTCAACAGAGCATGTCAAACAGATGTATCCAAACAGCTGCTGACTTTTTTAGCTCACTCTTCCTCAAACCTAAACTTGTATTTCAAACCTTATAAATTGCTGTTGAGACACTAATCCAGTGGCACCTTACCACCTCTTCAAACTTGAGTTGTTTATTCCTAATAAGGTACAGTAGGATTTGTACAATGGGGTTGAATGGTGTCTAGAAATGAGATAAAGTAAATGTATCCTTGTGCTCTACATCATCATGGGGAAGACTTTGGCTTTCATTTTCTGGGCTGGATTTTGCAGTGGAAAGGTGGGTGTCTGCATATTCGGAAATTGCTCACGTTCAGGGGTTCTCAAACTTCATTGCACCACGACCCACTTCTGACAATAAAAATTACTGCATGACTAAAGTGCAGCTTCTTCATTGAGTGCTTGCTCATGTCCATTCAACGTAAGTGTGCTTGCTCACCACAGGCCCAGATGCCGGAAGATTTTTCCCTCAGCAATATCCGTAGGATCTTTTACACTAAGCCCTGTAATGGTCTTAGGGCTGATCTGCCTCTTCCCCAAGCCTTGGAGCTGCTGCAGCCTGTGGAGGTAGGGGGCACCTCTCTCCGCCAGCCTCAGCACTGAGCTTCCACAGAGAGGTCAGAGGGGCACCTCTTCACCATCCCCATCGTAGAGCTGCTCCAGGTCATGTGGCCAGCAGGGAAGTGGCCAGCGCAGCAGGTCTGGCTCCAAGCAGGGAGACCCTGGGGCCGGTATGCTGTCTCCGCCCTGCCGGCAAGAGCAGCGTGTGTGGCACCACAGAGCCTCAACTCCCGGCCCCAGGATACCTGCTGCCCATTTCTGGGGCACAGCATGGAGCCCCAAGACAGGCCGGCACCTGCCAGCATGCCTTAGTGCTGCTGTCCAGGTAGGCCCGAGCCCCAACCCTCTGCCCATGCTGAGTCTCCTCCCTCCCTACCCAAACCCCTCTCCTGCACCCCAAATCCCTCATCCCCAGCCTCACCCTGAATTCCCCAGTCCAGAACTTGTATCCCTTCCAGATCCCAACGCCCAAACCTGGAGTTTCCCTCTTGCATCCCAAAACCACCATCTGCAGCTCCACCCCAGAGCCAGAACTCCCAGCCAGAGCCATTGAACCTCAACCCTCTGTCCCAGCCCCAGACTCCTCAACTTCAGCCCCACGCTAGAGCCTGCATCCCCAATTGGAACCCTCACACTCCTGCACCCCAACCCCCGGCCTCAGGTCTGAGCCTCCTCCCACACTCAGAACCCCTTGTCCCCACTCCCACCACATGAATTGTGCAATGTGGTGCTTGTAACATGTCACCGCCACATTGATGCACATAACATTCATTCTTCTCTGGGGTGGGAAAAATTAGAGAGGACACTGCTGCATGGCCCTGAGGCTGGGGAGGAGGAACCAATGCCCCAGCTTCACCGCCATGGGCAAGGAGTCTATAACCTGAGCCCTGTCACCCATAGCCAAAGTCATCGGGATTTGGCTTTAGCTACAGGTGGTGGGACTTGGGCTTCAACTTTAGCCCCAGGCCCCACCAAATTTAAATCAGCTGCGGATGGTGAGCTGATTCAAACGGGTCGCAGTCAGCTTTGGGGTCTTGAACCACAGTTTGAGAACCGCTGTGGATTCACAACAGACTGTTAAGGAGAGAGGATGTCTAGTTCGAGTGTTATGTCCTCCACTGAGAGGAGGAATTCTAAACAGGTGAAATAAAGAGGGTTTTCTTTGGTTCTCACTCCTCCTCAGAGAGAGACACAAAAAGAATGGACTTGTACCTGCCCTCTTGTTGAGAAAAGGGTACGTACAACCTATTACTAGAGAGAGATGGGGGCAACAGGTTTACGATCATCCTTAGGAGCTGCCTTGCTAAGATGAAATTTTATTACTACTTTCTTGATGCCCTGCAGCCCAGAAAGTGCACATTATCATGCAGATCCGAAATTGTACAGATACCAAAGAAATTGATAGCAACACAGAAGAATCCAAACCAGTAAATGTTGTCTTAAAAAAAGCAACCATCTGCCAAGTTTCCGCTTTGAATGAATATAATGGCCACGGCAAAATGGGGGTTTATTATGGAGCTCTGACATTAAATTCTATGATGAATTTTTTTACTTTTGGTGTCTGTGATAGCACAAAAAAATCTTTGTTTTTCCTCAATTGAGGCTTTTCATTGGTGGGCAGGACAGGGGGAAGTGGGATAAGTGAGAATACTGAGCAGAAGAAGTTGTACTGAAAGTAAATTTGATATTAGGGAGCAGAACATGACTAACAACACAATATGGTCTGTTCCACAATTTTTTTTAAATTGTCTAGGAATCCTCCTTAGAGATTATAATGTTTTATTTCCAGGAAAGTTAATACATAGTGACTACTTCAAAGAGTTATTGTATAGAGCATTTTTTAGTTCTATGTACAACCCAACAAGCTGTTCACTGGGAGAATGTGTGCTATTTTTTTTTATTGATTGATGTAAAACAGTGACATAGTCTTTCCTTTTAATTGCTATCTGACCACAAAGAGATTAGTCCAATTGGAAATAGATAATATATATATTTGCATTTGAATGAAAGGCAAATTTCTTCTTCTGCATTATTTCCCTCAAAATGCTTAAAGAAAGCAACTCACCAGAAATCTGCTGAAGATATAAAAATATTTGTTTCAAATCCAGGTGCTGGAAATTGCATTTATGAGGAAAATAAATCTTGCTTGAAGTCATTGCTCAGTAGGAAAGACTGCTCAGTTGCTGTTCATGTTGCGTAAATTGGCTATTATTGGTCTGCATTTAAACTGTAAACTTTGTGACTTGTGAAATGTTGATCTCTGATTTAGTTCTAATCCCTTTTAATTATGGTCTCTAGCTAATTGATTAGTTCTGTGGTAGCCAACTGATTAGCTTTGTGGGGGAAGGAAAGGGTGCCACTGGGTCATTATGACAGAGTTTAGATGAAATACAAGGAGAAGCTGATGAGAGATTTTCCTAAGCTACATGCTATCAAAAGACAAACCACTGAGTTGGTTTCGTATCCATGCTTGTACTATTATTTCTTTAAATCTGGGGGTTAAATATTATTGTACACACTTACAGTAGATAATCTAGCTCAAATAGAAGCAACAGTACCAACAGATTAACTGTAAATTCAATAACATAGCAAAAACCTATCCATGCATTCAAAGGATGGTTTATTCCAGATCTAATAGTCAACTAGTCTCAGAGGGGTAGCCATGTTAGTCAGTAACTTTAAAAATGAGTAGTCCTGTGGCACCTTAGAGACTAACAAAAATATATAGAATCATGAGCTTTCATGGGTAAAACCCACCTCATTAACATGGGTGCTACAACTGACAGGTGGTTCTTTTGTTATTTCTACTCCAATTCATCTGATGAAGTGGGTTTTACTCATGAAAGCTCATGATTCTGTATATTTTTGGTAGTCTCCAAGGTGCCACAGGACTACATGTTGTTTCTAATACAGGTTGAACCTCTCTAGTCCAGCACTCTTACGGGAGGGATAGCTCAGTGGTTTGACCATTGGCCTACTTAAACCCTGGGGGGTGAGTTCAATCCTTGAGTGGGCCATTTAGGGATCCTGGGACAAATCTGCTAGGGATGGTACTTGGTCCTGCCGTGAGGGCAGGGGACTGGACTCCATGACCTTTCAAGGTCCCTTCCAGTTCTGAGAGAGAGAATTTTGCATACAGCAAGAGGTCAATATTGTCTAGCAGCATTACCAGCACTTCTGCTGCTTACTGGACTGTTAGAGGACATTTGGGGTAAATTAGAACTAAATAACAGCATAGAACACTGAGAGGCAGGACCGGTGGCTGTAAACAAACTTTATGGGACTGCAGGAAACTTGGCCAAACCCATGAAAAGTGGATATCCGGCTAACTAAAATAATTCCGGATGACAGATGTTTCTGGACCAGAGAGTGCAAGACGAGAGAGATTCAAGCTGTAGTGAACTGAATGCTGTCACTGGCCTATTAGTTCTATATAGGTTCTTAGACTGTACTCATCACCAAAGTATCTGAGTGCCTAACCCTTTTTGGGTCAGCTGTATCTCATACATAATGCATTTGTAATGATTATTTAAGGGAAACTTTCCAGAATCATGCAGTGATATATCTGCATGTGTGAGTCAAATGAGGGGGTGGAGGAATGTATTGGTTTGGCTGAGTAGTAAATCCATCTAATTTAATGCCCCAAATGGAAATTGCTGGATCAAGTGGAATTGCTGTTTTAGTAAATCTGGCTGTTGTAGATCTGCTCTCCTGCCAGTATAAGGTCACCCCTGGGGCGGGTCCATCACAAGTGGAATTTGAAATAAGAGCTTCATTCAAGTTCCATACAGCAATCTGGATAGGGACCACTACTCACCCATCTTAGCTGTAAGAATGTTTGTTCAATGGGCCTCAGCTAGAGCTCATAATGCCTTGCAGCATTTAGACGTTTTAGGTGTGTTAATCAATATTCATCCCACCAGCTCTCTCTTTATACATCATTGCCCATTATTCCTTGTCTCTAGATTTATAATTAACCCCGGAGGAGGCAGAGTTTCCGTCATTTGTTTTGGGCTCGTGCTGGACTGTTCAGTCTTCTGAGTGTCAGGTTGATAGATTTGGCTTCATATTCTTCACATGAAGTTGATCTCTTGTTCAAGCCTTCTGCATACCAACCAGTATGACAGTATGATCCCTTATGCCTTGTGCAATGAAGTTTACAGAATCGGTCAGAAAAGGCTATCCTTGTCAACCGATCCCTGTCTAGACTGCCACTTTTTGCCGGCAAAGTGCCACGTCGGCAAAAAGCAGTGGCCATTTCTATTCAAATGAAGCACGGGATATTTAAATCCCCGCTTCATTTGCAATAGTGATGTGCCTAACCTACATCCCTCTGTCAGCAGAGGGGTGTAGTTTAGACACACCCTAAAAGTGCTATATAAGAGGTATTATAATAATAAAAGTTTGTGCTAGAATTTGCTTGGCTACAAACATGAATACTATAATATACAGGCAGTCCTCGGGTTACGTACAAGATAGGGACTGTAGGTTTGTTCTTAAGTTGAATTCGTATGTAAGTCAGAACTGGTACATATTGTAGGGGAAACTCTAGCCAAACATTTCTCCAGAGCTCAGTTTTATTCTCCCACACCTCACTTCCCTCAGTCCTTTATTCTCAAGCTGAGGTGTCTGCTGAGAAAAGCCGCTCCGCGTCTCCCTGGTCTGCTTTGGGGGGGCACTAGCTTCGCGTCTCCCTGGTCTGCTGGGGGGAAGCAGCTAGTGCAGGGTTGCCTTACCCTGTTTGTAAGTAGGGATCCGATGTAAGTCGGATCCATGTAACCCAGGGACTGCCTGTACACTGACATTTAAGCTTGCCTTCTGCCTTAATGAGGTAAATTGGAACAGCAGCTGAAATAAAGTTAAGGGATTGAGTTCATGTTACTAGCCAGTGCTGTTTATGAATAGATCATCTGAAGAAGTATGGTCCGCTGGCCCTGTTTTTCAGGAAAGCTGCAGTTTAACAGCTGAAGAGACATGGGGAGGACACAATACCCATAGGTCATTAATTCTTGAAGCTGAATTAGCTGAAGGGATAATGGATGAAACCTGACTCTGTTAAGCTCTCTGCTCCTTTACTAGCAATGTTCAGTGTTAATTTAGATTTTCCTCTCAGGAATTTCCTGCCAGTATTGATAGACCCTTAGGCAGGCTCTGGCAAACTTTAAAAAATATCCTTTACCAGAACTCTATTAAACTGTCATATGCCACTTCTGAATTTCCTTTTCCAAATAGCTACATGCCAGGATGTTGGAGGCATTCTCTAAGTGTTTTTTTTTTTTAGTTGATCCCTTCGTTCCTTCCCAGTTTGTTCACTGATGCCAAAATCTCACATTTGTGTGTGATAGTTCATCCTCATGGGAAAATGAATAATTTCTTTCTGTCCAGCAGAATTGCTGAGTGAATAGGACTTTTTATTTATGAATGAAAGGCCTGAGCCCTTACTCACATGAGTAGTGCTATTGAAGTTACTTGGGATAGGGCTAGACACATATTTATTATTGTAAATATCAATAATGGAAATGAAAAATATAGGAACTTGGTTTTGATCATATCTGTATTGGGGTTTGCCTGATTGATTAATTCTCTCGCTTTTTTCATTATGTAACTATTTGCACTAAAATGACTCAAAGTAACATTTTTCAAAAGCACCTAAGCCCCATTTTCACAAGCAACAAAATAATTCTGGCTTCTGATTTCCAATGAAACCCAATGGAGCTTAGGCTCTTTAATCACTTAGGTTTGACAATTTTACCTGCAATACGTTTGCAGTTCTGTTTCATTTCCATGATGTCACTACATTGCATCTTTTTTTCTATTATTAAATCCCACATAAGGAAAGAGAAGCAAGGTTTAAAGAAAAGAGTTACCACCAAACCGTTGGTCACTTGAAAATAACTTTTGTTTTATGATTTAAAAATAGAGCTCACACAATGTTTTTATCCCCTTTCTTAATTAAAGCAAATAGAGTTGTAATCAATGGGGAAAAATCCCATCTGTTATCATATCCTTCCTTGAACCGTTCTTGCCATCTGCTCTTAGCACATGTGCATGTCTCACCTGGAAAGTACAGGCTCTCTTTATCTTTGCTGACACCAAAGCAGTGTGGTGATAATTCATCAATAAGGTAGGAGCTTTGTTTAAAAAAATCTTTGCTATGAATAAATGAGAGCCTGATTATCTTCCTAGGAGAAAAAGGATTAAACTTGGGAAAGTTTGTGGAGAGGACTTTGTGTGTCTCTAAAGCAGAAGGTACATCATTGTTGGTTTCTCTGTATAGCAGGTGAATTAAAATAACTTCCTTTAAAAAAAAAAAGACATTTTGTAATCTCTTCCTTTCTGACCCCCATTTTTTTTCCTTTAGAATTTAAGTAGGCTTGAGGAGCAGGAAAAGGAGGTTGTAAGTGCGTTGCGCTACTTTAAAACCATTGTGGACAAAATGGCAATTGACAAGAAAGTACTGGAGATGCTGCCAGGTTCAGCGACTAAAGTGCTGGAGGCTGTCGTAAGTCTTGTCCAAATAGAGCCACAGATTCAGCAAAGGTGAGTTTCCCTTGGGTGGGAGATTATGATGGGGGGCGGGATGTCAAGCAATTTGAAACGTCTGAAAAATCATGGCACACAAGTGGCATGAAATGCTGCTCTTTAGTAAAAAGTGGCCAATTTACAAAGCACTTTTCAAACAAGGTCTGAAGACAAGGTCCCTGCTGCAAAGAGATCACAGCTTAAAGTAGATAAGAAGGTTCAGGAAAGAGAGAGCAAAAAGAGTTGATTTGTGGGAAGAAGAAATGATTGATTCCTAGAAGTGAGTTGGAAATGGCAGAAGACAGGGATGTGGGGCATGATTCCAAATATCAGAGACTTTCAGTGGAAAAAAGTTCTTTGCTAGGTAGCAGGCAGCTGACATTCAAAGAGATTGTGTATCAGATGCCGTGCTCCATTTGCAAGCCAAAATCAGTAAGAGCAGACAGCATTTAGTGAAAAGTGAACATCACCTCAAAGTAATTCCTTCATGGGTGATATTCGTCCGCCTCTGTATTAGAAAAGTCTTCGACAGAAATTGTAAATTACTCATTTGGACTTCTTTGAGTTAAATTTAGACCAACTGTAAGAAGATGCAACTCTGTTGACTTAAGAAGAGTACATGTTCTGAATTCATCCCAATGTGTGCGCTCCTCTTTAGGTTTTCTGTGACTCAGTTCTGCATTAAGGACTTATTCACTAGTCCAGAAGAAATCTAGTGGCTTGCCAAGGCCACTAGTTGAGCTTGGATTATAAGAACTGTGGACTCTTCAAGCCATAGCCCACACATCTAGGTCTGCTAGATCACATCATTTTCCAGACTTCTGGAGACCCTGCTTAAAATACAAACTTCAACAAATCCCCTGTTAAATGAAGTTGTATAAGCAAAACAGCACAAAAATATATTGGAAAATAAAAGCCCTTGAAGATTTCATGCTGTTCTTGTTAGGGATGTCAATGTGAGGTTAACTATACTATTAACCAATAAGCCTAGGCAGCGGAGGGGGTGGGGGTGGGGGGCAGTGGTCAAGAAGGCTGCCACAAAGCAGCCTCTGTCCGAACTCCCCGTGGACAGAGGCTGCTCTGCATCCCACAGAGCAGCCTCTGTCCGTGGTGCAGCAGGCAGCTGGTCTGCACAGGGAACTAGTTTTTAAATGGTTCCTTTCATGGACCGGCTCCCCCTGCCACTCTGCACTGCAGCTTCCAATACAGAGGCAGCAGTGTGGGGCGGCAGGGGGTTCCCTGGGAGTGGGGTCAGGAACATACTGGCTGCTGCCCCTGTCCCCAGGGACAATTGAACCACTAAGATTTCATGTGGTTACACGACTATTCAATTACCTGAAATCAAACATCCCTAGTTCTTGTATATTTTCCCACTGCATACCTTCAAATGCAGCTACTTTTTCATATGGGATACTTCTTTGCTTTTATTTTCAAAAGTATTTTTGAAAAGCTGTCCAATTGAACTATTGCAGCTACCACTCGTGAAACTTCAGCTGCTGAGGAGTCCCAGAGGCTGGCAAGGAAATAAATGTGATGTAATATTTAGAGATGAAAAAGTGCCACACTCGAAAGCCAGCCACAGTAAAGTGGTGTTATTCTGCTGAGAGCCTTCAGTATCTAGGGTTTAGCTGGGTTTAGTGAGGGAGGAATATCTGAGGAAGAATTGACTTAATTTAGAGTTAGAGCAAAACAGAATTTGACACTTGGTTATTAACTTCTGCTAGTTTAGGGAAGGTGTCACTCCTGTATGAGGGAACATGGACTAAATCTGTCCTTATTTTCATAAATCAGGCACAGTAAAAACCTTGTGGAAGGAACAGGACATCTGGTAGGGGTGGAGCCATCGTGTAGACTAAGGTGTTCCTACTGTTCCTGGCTATTAGGAAGGGTCAGGAGAAAATGGATAAAGAGCACAGTGGCAGCTGAGGTAAAGGAGTAGCATATTAAATGTAGTTTGTAAAGCTACAGAGACCAGTAGCTGTTGAGTACAGAGTATTGGTCAGGTTTTCTGAGACTCAGAGTTCATTTGGCTGTTATCAAGTTTCCCACGGCCACTGAATTCCTAACAAGCACCTGCTTTTGCTTAATCAAATAAAAAAAGCACCGTAACTTATGTGAAGAGTTCATGTTAAATGTCAGAGAGTATCTTTAGGATAGAAAATGTCATCTTTGTGTAGTTAATCGCTTTCTGATTCATGTCTCCCCAGGCATGTGTTGAACAAGTTTACCTTATTGAGGCAATTAAAATACAGAATGTGTCTTGGAAAACAAATATTTTGAGCTGTCCTCTCAACCCCAGGCAGCTAGCTGAGTTCTGGGAGCTGGATGTCAGAATCTAGTCTTTCAGCAGGGAGCTTCCATCAGTATGAGCTCTGGTCACGTCTTTTTTTCACTGAGTAATGAGCTCCTCCTGTAGACAGAGTATTAAGGCAGGAATCCTGTAAGCAAGTTCTAGCAAGTCTAGCCCCTTTCAGTGAGGATTTTGCATTCTCATTAAACAATGTCTTTTCATGCTGTACCTACATATCTTACTCCTTTTCAGTAATGGCAAGGCACAAATGGAGATTTTAATCTTCAGTGCCCCTCAAAAAAGTTGTGCGAGGATGGGTTGTTGTGTAAGAAAGCCATCCAATTGTTGTTGAATTCCTTTTTGGCTTTCAGGGTAGTATTTGCATCACGGAAAAAAAAGTAATTACATCTAGTACAAAGTGGGCTTTTCAATTACTGCCTTCTCAGAAGGAAGTGGATTGAAGATTAATGGTAAAGAAATCAAAGCCTTGGAAAGAGTCGGGAGGGACCTATTTAGAAAATATCTACTTTCAAGATAACGTCTCTTGAAATGACACAGAATACTGACAAGTGCCATACTTCTGAAAAATGTACTCTCCATTCTTTGCAGTCCTTCCTTTGGGTATGTCTACTGCTATACGACAAGTCGAATTAAGCTATGCAACTTGAGCTATGTCAATTGCGTAGCTTAAGTTGAAATAGCTTAATTCGGCTTTTAGCGCTGTTCATACAGCAGGAAGTCAAAGGAAGAACACTCTAACCTTCGACTTCCCTTACCCCTCATAAAATGAGGGTTACAGGAGTCGGAGTAAGAAGTCCTCCAGCTTGCCATTATTTTGAAATAATGGCTTGCAGTGTGGACACGCTTTATTTTGGAATAATGCTGCTGTGTAGACATATAGCCTTTGAAGTTTTACAATAGTTCATTGCCCACCGACAGCTTCTGCAAACCTGATTCACCCAAGGAATCTCATTGAAGTTAATGGGCTTGATTCTCCCCTTGATAAACATCATTCTTTACATCTTTGGAGACACATCAGGAGAATCAGGCAATTGGGAATACTTATGTGAATCAGGGTTGCAGGATCACCTCTCTCTCTTGTCCTGATATATCTTGAAAACATCTGTCCTATTTGTGATGAAGCTCCAAATTAACATGTTTGTTAAAAATGAGTATTAGGTCTTTATTGGAATATCATCAACTGTCAGCATATCTTGTTTATAGGCAAAATTGACATTTTCAGAGATGGTAGAGCAAAGCTTTTGTTAAAATTTTCAGTTCTTTTTCCCAAGAATCATTTTCTTCAGAACAATGGCTTTAGTGCAGTTCTACATTTTAAAAAGCCAGGACTTAAATTCACTTAGAGTATTCAGGCCCAAATTGTTGTGCCCCGTGTTGGAAGAACACTTTTCATAAGGAAATGGCGTTTAGTTCCACATTTGCAAGGATTAAGATCGGTGAGAAATGTATTCTCAAAACTATGAATATGTACCTTTAATACCTTTGTTTCAACTGCTACTTGAGAATTAGTATTGTGACTGCTGCAAAAGTAAAATCCATGTCTCATTTTCTTCCTACTTAATTCCCTTTTCTGGATTTTGTGTTTAACAGAAGAATAATTCAGATAGCAAAAGGGTAAAAATTACACTGCGCCCTAACACACAGTATTTGTTTAAAGATAAACTGTGGGACCTGCAATAATTTCTCTATTGAGATAAATGTTTCATATTTTCATTTTATCTTCTGCCATCTCTTCCTGCTACAGCCGGGTGTACCAGAGTCTGGGAAATCTGATTCGTTGGTCTGATCAGGTGATGCTGGAGGGGGTGAATTCGGAAGACAAGGAAATGGTGACAACAGTGAAGGGTGTCATAAAAGCTGTTCTGGATGGAGTAAAGGTATGAAATGCTAGTTACTGCTCTACTGAGTATAAGATATGCATCTTTTCTAAAAGATTTATTTGGAGGATAAAGATAGCAGTTTTTAGTAGCATGTAAAACACAAATATCCTGTTGACAGGAATAAAGTCTTATCTTTGAAATCTACTAATGCATCAATGAGATTGCCTTATCAGATAAATTCTTTAAGGATCAGCACAAATAGTTAGTGTGCCAGTGCATACTGATGGACTGCCAGAAGCAACGAACCTTTATTGTATTATGTTTTTAGTGAGTCTTCGCTGTTCTAAATGCAGCTTACAGGTTGGAGTTCACATATTATCTGTCTAGACAAAGGGCAATGGAAATGTTTCCCATTAATGCTCAAGGAGAATCAAAGATGCCAACCTCCACCTTTTGGCAAGGTATGAATCAGTAATAGGATGCTACAATTCCTTATCATTGGGGGCTGGTGACCGGAGCCTGACTGCAGTCCATTGTTTTGGAGGTTTGTTTTGCATAAGCACTGGAAAGTTTACCTGAACTGTCTGCATCCCCTCTGTGACCTCCTTGGAATACTCCTCCTCCTATCTTCCTGGAAATGCTACTAGTTTACCTCCCAACAAATTTTGATTATCCATGTTTCTCCTTACCATCTCCCAGGCCTTTTTCCACCTTTGATGATGTTGTGTAGCCCAGTTACTCTAGCAGTGTCTCTGCTGGATCTTACCCCCGTGAATTAAATGTTTGTGCACACTGTAGCTTTTCTTAATTGGATACTTGATGTTCAGGGTCTTTTATCAAAGGCCCCAGGAACTAGCAGAGAAGCTGTCATATATGTTGGAACTGTATTTTGAAAGGCAGGAATTAATTGAAATGCAGAAAGAGGGAATTAAGCCTCTTATGCCAAACTGAATCAGACCTCTAAGTTCTGTTTACAGGATCAAGGACTGAGATACATTTGGTGGAGGTACATTTGGGGTAGGTTTTTATTCCAGCTGATCCACTTAACTCATTCTTATTTCCTTAGAAAATCATATAATAATGATAATGATGATGATACTTAATAATTTCATATAATAATAATAATAATAATTAATGATGATGATACTTAATAATATATGTAGCTCTTATATAGTGCTTTTCATCGGTAGGTCTCAAAGCACTTTACAAAAGAGATCACTATCACCCCCTTTTACAGAAGAGGAAACTAAGGCACAGAGAAGGGCAGTAATTTGCCCATTTCACCCAGCAGGCCAGTGGCAGAGTCCGGAATAGAACCAAGTCTCCCTTGTTCCCATCCAGTGGCCTGTCTGTTGGGTCTCTCTGCCATCTTTTTATTGTACTCAAACTTGGCTTAATTTCTGTGGCTTGAAACTCTGAAAGTGAATTGCATCTCTTGGGTTTTGGTCCTTGCCAGAAGGGTTGGCGTGCTGTTCTGGTATCCCTCTTTCATGTCATGCACTTTAATTAGTAAAAATAATCCTATTAGTTCTGAAGGCTTTTAAAGTTATTTGTTTGAAACAAAATATTCCCATCATCCAGAGAAGTCACATTTCCAGGATTGTTCTGTATGATATACCCTTAAACATAGGCACTAAATATCAGCTAAAATGTGTTTAATTCTGAGAGCGGGATCAGAGGGGGAAAGATAGGGCATAGAAATGTAGGAACACTGTCTCAGCTGGTATAAATTCAGACCTCCCTTGACTTTAATTTGCATGGTGGCACTTTGAGTCTCCTCAGGATCTTCTACATAGTATCCAAACAACCCAACAAATAGGGGATGCAGCAGAACACTGCTGTGACGTTGTTTAGATCTGTATAGTCCTGTGTAGACTCTTAGTATATGTGTGTATGTAACTAAGTGTATGACCAGACTTGTCCTGTGCAGAACCATGCATAGAAATACCAATTTGGTTTTCATTTTAAACCATTACCTTAAATATCTGGTATCTGTATTCTTGGCTAGAAAGCAGACATGGTTTCAATGTAAGTGATGTGACAGTATCTCTTACTGTGTGGGAAGTGGAGAGTTATTTTAGAAGAGCCAAGTTTTTGGTATCTAGAAGCAGGAAGTAAGAAATGGGTCACTTCTGTACTACTGCCCAGAATGATTTCTGTAACATTAATAAAATCTCCATCGAATCCCAGTTCTACATTTTAGTACTTACTTCCTCCTCTGTTCTCAGTATTGTGCATGAGTTAGCTAGCTGCCCTTTTGTATTGCTATTTGTTGTGTTCATCTCAGGTTTGGTTATTTATAACAATGAAAATTCCCTTTTATGACTATAGCATTCAAAAAAAAATCCATCTCATTTTGGAATTTCCAGTTGGCCGAAGTAGCACAAAGATAGCAGAAATTACAGGTGATAAAAGCTGACAAGGGCCTTTTTATAGTCAGTAAGCGCTGGCTGGATGTGCATCTGGTCCAGTTGCTTAGCCATATGAATGATGCGTGTCTCTGAGGTCTCTTGATCTTGTTTTAGTGGATGCAGGGGAGGAGAATGGAAAACTGATGAATTTTGGTAATGTTTTCAAAATTCAAAGCATCAATGATTAGTTTCAACGGGAGGGGTTTTAATGTTTGACTGACAGAAATTACAGGTGATAAAAGCTGACAGGAGCCTTTTTACAGTCAGTAAGTTTGATTAGTTTCAAAGGGAGGGGTTTTAATGTTTGGCTGGAGTTTTCTCGTAAGGATATGGGAGATGATGGGATCCTCAAGCGTAGAGTTGGATGAATAACTGATTTTTCACTTTGGTCACAGAATTTTTGGTGACTTGAAAAAGTTTGTCTGAAGTGGGGATTTGATCCTGACCTCAAGCGTAGAGTTGGATGAATAACTGATTTTTCACTTTGGTCACAATTCCAAAAAATATTTCAATTTTGAGTTGACTCAAATCTGAAATGCTTTCAGAATTTTTGGTGACTTGAAAAAGTTTGTCTGAAGTGGGGATTTGATCCTGAGGACAACTATAGGCTGGATCAATGGGCAACAATTGATCCTACAAGGGTAAATTTATACTAGACTCGATAAATCGACTTCCCAGTGCTCTCCTCTTGACTCCAGTACTCCTCTGGAATGAGAACAGTAAGCGGAGCTTAAGACACAGTTGTAAGCAAACGTAAATGTGTCAACTTCAGCTACGTTACTCACATAGCTGAAGTTGCATACTTAGGTTGAAGACCTGCAGATTAGGTATCTGCCCTAATCACATGACTAAAGTTTATGATGAGTAGCAGCAGTGTCAGCGTCATTACCATGTTATTGTCTTCCTTCTCTTCTGGCCATTTTGTCAATGTCTGAAAGTATGTGTGTCAAATTTGTGAATGGGTTGACCAAAACCACCTCTCCCCCATTCTTCCCCCTCCTCCACCACAAATAACTGTTCTGAAAAATTTCATCCAGCTCCGTTCAAGTATGCATTCATTTGGGATTTGGAAATAACAGCACAACAGAGCTGTTCCAAAGTGTTACTCGTATGCCAGGTCAGTGCATGTGACAAGAAGTCCGAAATATTCTTAGCAGTGCTTTAAAGCACCAGTTTAGATTGTTTCCCCCAATATTATCTCTAAGTTCCCATTTGCCAGAGAGGCTCGTCTCTTGTTATGAAGCAGAGAAAAGGGAAAATTGACTAAGCATGTTAACTTTAAGCCTCCAGAGATTGTCAGCATTAGGGCAGCAGTTGCCAGTGGCACAAAATTTATCATTCAAGTCAAGTTGGTTCGGTTTATTAAACACAATAGAGAAGAGGAAAAGAGGAAACTCACCAGCAGATTTACCTTCACTGTGCCAAGAGCTTCTTAGGCATATTTCAGCTTTTGGTTTAACTACCATTCATTTCATTTAGTTTCTTTTATACATTATGTGGAGTCATTGATCTTGCTCATGAATGCCTGATAATCTGACAAAGAGCCTGCTCCAAAGTACATTGAAGTCTGTTGGAGTCTTTCCAGTGACTTTGTCGGCCATTGGATCTGGACCAGAATGTATAAAGGCGGCAGTACAGTGAGTCACCACTCAGTCTTGATCGTAAGTTGGTATATGTAATGCCAGCTGCAGCACAATCCCTTTGCCAACTCACTGTTACTAGGAATAATGAATGTGATGATGTCACTGCGTGGTTCTCAAAAATCCTAGAACTTGTGGACTGAAAATCCTTTTTAGGATCCCAGTTTCCAAAATCCCATGAATGTTTTTCCTCGTGCTTCCGTACAAATGTTAAAAGGAACTGCAAAATGAAAATGAAAACTTGAGTTCATTTTGTATTTCTCTGCGTATTATCCCCAGGGCCTGGGTTGTAGGCAGGCACTCAGCACAGAAATAAGTTTTAAGTAGTACATTTTTAATTCTTTTCCTCCTTTGTAAGATTCCCTCTTGCATTGTAGATTTGTGGTACTTGTCTGGGATATCCCAGAATGGCACTTTCTTAAGAGAAACAGGAAGTGCCAGAGGATTTCACAGCCTGAGGGGAATCAAGTTTTTTAAAGGTTAGTTAAAACTTGTGCTATGTGCCCCCACTTAGCAGATATTCAACGGAGAGATTTGAGATTAATTCAACATTCACAGCTTTGCAGTTCCTTTATTTCTGAGGGTATTGGATTATTACAGCTTTCGTACAGTGTTTCCAGTGTACATCTGAGAGTGTAATTTACAGATACAGTCATAAGCCCTGAAGCCCTGTTACTACCCAGTTCAAATTATTAAAACTCTGACAGACATGGCCTGCCCTGGTTGAGCACAAGGGCCTGTCGGGGAATGAGTTAACCGTGGCCAGAGTGATTTCTTTAATCTTGGACTTTGTTTTTCATCTTGTCAGACATGAGCTTTGCACTTGCCTATGAACTCTACTCACTGCAGGGGTTCTCCTTCCATCTGTCCCAGATAGGAACAGCTTTGTAGCACCAGCCATGTTGAGCACTCAAGCACTCATGCCCTATTTGCTTCTGCATAGTATTTTATTAATGTAGACTAGAAGATTTACCTGACATTGCTCGGGTCCTTGACTCAATTAAAT